ATCTGGAAAAGAAAGTAGGCAAGAATAGGAGAAATCATTTCTAAGAAAGAAAAGTAATGAGGACAGACTAGTCTTACCAAATATTAAAATATATTATAAAGTTATAATAACTAAAACCATGTGATACTGGCATCAAAATAGATTAATTAGGCAAAATAAGTGGTTAAAATTATATAATAACAAAATATTTGATAATGTTAGAACACAAACCAATAGAAAGGAAATATATTTTACAGTGTATGGACTGATTAACTGGAAAAAAAACAATTTTTTGTAACTCATGATACACAAAATAGCAACACTTAAACCATAGGAAATCTAAAGGGACTTGTTTTTAAGGGCCTTGTTAGAATACATAACAAATTGCAAAGTGAAAAATAAAATAGATTTGGTTATATAAAGACAGCAAGAAAACAAACAAACAGAAGGTGAGGTACAATTATTTGAACATAACAAAATGGTTAATAATTATATTATTAACAGAAGCTCATACAAACTCCACAGCTGGGAGCTAATACATGAGATAAGAATAGAATCCTATTTAGCCAATATAGAAGATAAGACTAAAATCACGTTTCACAAAAGATGAAATATAACACATTTGCAAACATGAAAGCATTCAGCCTTGCTAATAATCAATTGGATATATACTAAAACAAAAATAAGCTGTATTTAGGTTTAATCAATTATTTTTTTTAAAAAATTTTAATGTTTTATTTATTATTGAGATATAAACAGAGCATGAGTGGGGAAGGCTCAGAGAGAGAGGGAGACACAAAGTCTGAAGAAGGCTCCAGGCTCTGAGCTATCAGCACAGAGACCGAAGCGGGGCTCGAACTCATAACTGTGAGATCATGAGCTGAGCCAAAGTCAGATGCTTAACCAATTGAGCCACCCAGGCACTCCAGGTTTAATCAATTATTTTAAAATTAATGTCAAAGGTTTACATTCCCAGCTGGTACAGATTATTTTCATTTAGATAAATTTGTCCTCTAGAGAAAGTGGAAAACCTGGATAAAATCTAGCAAATATTTGTTTAGAAGCATCCTAGAGCTTCAGGGTGGAGAGGATTTGAGAAGCCAAAAACCCAGAGAGTAGGCAATCCAAGAGAGATCTCACTTACATAACCACCCATTAGAAGCTAAGGTAAAACACCACTTGAGAAAGATATGATCACTCAGAGGCTCAAATTATCTTTACAATTTTTCATACACAATGTCTGACAATAAAATTACCAGTCATACTTGTAGACCAGATAACAGACTTTAAAATATCTGTAATTAATAAATTAACAAAATTAGATGAGCAGATAGGGAATTTCCGCATATTATTGGTAACTATATAAAAACCAAATGGAAATTCTTTACCTAAGAAATAAACTGACAAATTAAAAATTCAATGGATGAGTTTAAGAACAGATTAGAAACAGATGAAGAACAGATTGATGAACTGGAAAGCAAAGCAATAGAAAATTAATGTTAGTACCCAGAGTTAGCAAGGTACACTGGAAAATAGTTTCTTCTTACATAATTGGTAGCATATAAATCTATGTAACACTTTTTGGAAATGCTTTGGCAGTATAAATCAGATATTAGAACAAAAAAAGAGGGGCACTTGGGTGGTTCAGTGTTGAGCATCTGACTTCAGCTCATTTCATGAGCTCACAGTTCATGGGTTTGAGCCCCACATTTGGCTCCCTGCTGTCAGCCTGTCAGTACAGAGCCCGCGTTGGACCCTCTGTCCCCTCTTTCTGCTCCTCCCCAACTTGCGCTCTCCCCAAATAAATAAATATTTAAAAAAAAAAGATTTGTATGTTTTGATCCAGTAATCTTATATCTGGGAATATCTATTATGAAAATGATTGTATATCCTTATGTATAAGGATGTTCACTATAGACTTACTCATTGTACTAATCATAGTGTCCAATGTTTTAAGTGCAATTAATCCTCACAAAAAACCCAAGGAAGTAGAGGCTGTTATACTAATATCCTCATTTTACAGATGAGAACAGTGAAACCTTGAGAGGTCAAGTAGCTTGCTCAAGATTATGGAGCTAGTGAATACAGAAACAAACATTTGAATCAGGCTGCCTGCTTCTACAGCCTGCACTTGAACCTGCCCTGGGCTGTTGAAAGCAAGCTACATACCTAAGAACTGGATACTTGCCAAATAAGCAATATACCCAGTCTATGTAATATTATGCAGATATTAAAAATGAGCATCACAAACACTTTTAGCACCGTGGGAAATACTTCTGATATAATATAAAGAGAAAAAAATCAAAATCCTAGAACTACACCAAATAAAAAATATATACAAATATGATTGAAAGCAAATGTCCCCAAAGGCTAATAACAATTATGTAAGATTAGTAGCACTAGTTTTCCTTTTCTCTTTTTCCATTCTTCATTTTTTCAAAATTTTAATAATGTGTTTTATATATATAATACCATTATATATATCAAAAGCAGTAGAGTTTCTTGGGTAAGAGCCTGGGCTCTATAACCAAACTGCCTGTGTCACCACTTAATAGGTGTGTGACCTTGAACTTTTGTTTCCTAGTGTCTACGTTTATCCTATAAAATGAGGATAATTATAGTACCTATCTCGTAGGGTGATTGTAAGGATTAAATGTGCTTAAAATGTATTTAGAACAGTGAAACTGAAACTGACGTATGTAAGCATGATCTAGTATTGTTATTGTTATTCTACAAACAGGCCTCATTGTTTTAGATCCTGAGTGACCCTACAAAATGATAGGTTCCCCCCGCCAGTCCTTTGATGGGCACGTACATTAGCAACAGGTTTTGTTTCTATATATAGATCTTTGTCCTTACTGTGAATTCCCCAAAGCAGAGATGTCTGGGAAGCAAGAACCGTTGGCTGAGGAGACACTTCTGAACACTTTCCAAGAAGTAGTGATAATCAAATGTCTGATATATTTTTTATTTTAGAGAAGTTTGGCCTCCATGCTTTTGTCATATCTCTGAGACATGTGCAAGAGTGATTGAAGTGGCCCCTTGAAGCCAATATTACATGAACATCATCATCAGTGAGTCAGAGAAAGTATTTATCTATTTCCCCAATTTTTACCCTTCTCTGAATGAATGGCATTTTACCGGCTCCCTGATCTGACAGCCCAAGTAACAACAAAAAGTTGTTTAAGAAATAGGACACTTGGTGTGACTTGATTTTTCTGAATTGAACACCCCAAGGGGCCTGAAAATATGCTACAAAACTTTTTTCCACCTAGTAGATCCAAAACGTTTGGGAAATTTTTATAGAATTTCCTCATTCCTTAAAACAGTTGCATTGAAATTGTACAAGAAAAAAAAAAAAAAAAGATGTTAGCTGTCCTAATGGCTAATGAAATGATAAGACCTTGCAATAACCCCTGCCAATTAAAAATTAACAGGTGCTTGCCAGGTAGAATATTGCATTACCTGTAAGAGGAAAGGATGCAAATTGGTATTTCACACATTTGTGAGAATAATCACCTTTGATGTGTGTCTCTGGTATTCAAGACATTGGAAGTGTCTGCTCTTGTAAGACTTTGGCTATAGACCCCTACAGGTGTGTGAACCCTCCTAGGTGAGTTAGCTCTTTCCTGAGTGTTGTCTGTCTCTTCCTTGCCTCTGTCAAGGCCCCGTGATGTTCACTGGCAGTGTCCTTTGCTTAAACTTTCTAAGAATTCTCAGCTCTATGTTATGGTAAATGCCTAACAAATTGCTTTAATAGAGTCGGAGTTTTACACTGTTGCTAAAGTTATTATTCCTTTTGGGGTTATTCACGGAACTAGATTTATCTACCCCCACTTTGTTCCAGGGTTAACCCCAAACCTTTCCCACTCTCTTTTCTAATAATCATGTTCTGACACAAGACTACTTGTTAAGACATTCACTGCCTAAATCACAGGCCAGCATTTCACAATTAGTGATGACTGGTCACATGAAGGATGAGAAGAGCATGGTAATAGTGAAATTTCTTTCCCTGTTGGCAAAAATAAATCAAAAGTTTCAACCAGCAAATGGTGAATCAATGGCAAGTCAATAATAAGGTGAGAGATTATGTTACTGAAAAATGACCTCAAGATTATTATGATACAACGGATTAATTTCTCATGTAGATAAATGCTGGACAATTTCTTATTGTCATCGTATATTTGGAGGTGATTTCAAGTGTTCTTATTGCCACATGAGCTAATGGAATGGAGATTGGTCCTGTCTCTAACATGCCTTCTATGTCTGAATCTGGGAAAGTTTCTAAACAGTTCTGGGCTTCAGTGTCTCCACTTGAAAATGGGAGTGATAGTATTAATCTGTTAGGTTATGAAGGAAAAATGTTATAACACGAAACACCTGACACCCAGCAATCACTTTAGGAATGCTAGCCCTCCCTACCACTGTTTCCTTAGATAGAAAATAAAGACATAAAACAGAACTCTGCTTTCATCTTCAAATATATTATTCTTCATGGGTTATTTTATGAATATAATCATTGACTCAGAAACTAAATGGAATTTTCATCTCTCCAACCTTCATTCTTTTACTCCTTTCTCAGAGCTTTAATGAGCATCTACTATAAGCTAAGAAGTAAGTGCTGTGAGAAACAAAAAGGAGAGTGAAGTATCCATTCTATTCTCATGGAGTTTGGGGTCTAGAAAGAGGTTGTATGTATGTATGTATGTATGTATTGAATGCCATTAGAGAAACAAAGTATTATCTTCATTTGTTAAAAGGAGAAATTATTTTACCTGGGGTTATCAGGGAAGGGTTCATGGAGGAGGTAGTGACAGACTAGGCTTTAAAGAAGGGGTACAATTTGGACATTAGGGACAGAGGGGATACAATGAGTCAAAACAGAAGGAATGTGAGTGGGTGGAAAAAACAGTGACCTGAAACTGGAAAAACCTGGCTTGGCAATACCTTGAATGAACTACTCCCCACTTTCAATTTATCTGTGAAATGTGTAAAATAATCTCTGCCCGTTGGTCTTTCAGGGGTCTGAAGATCAGAGGAGAGCTTACATGTGAGATCTCTTTGGAAACCCTGGAGCACTCTGTGAATGAAAAGGGTAAATTTTTTCTCTCTTCCCTTGTACCATAAACTCCATGAGAGGGTTTGACAGAACCAGGTATTTTGTTCTTTAAAAGAAAGTTTGAAGTATATAAAAAAAATACACTGTAAACTTTAAGTATTTACAATTTTTACTTGCCGATTACACATCAGTAAAGAGGGGTAAGTTTTGATAAAACAATGAGCCATTGATTGAAGGAATGAATCCATGAATGCTATGAACTGAATGTCTGTGTCTGCCCCCACCCCCAAATTCATATGTTGACATCCCAACCCCCAATGTGGTAGTATTAGGAGGTGGGGCCTTTGGGAGGTGATTAGGTTTATATGAGTCAGGAGGTTGGAGCTCCATGATGGAGTCTGTGCCTTCCCAAGAAGAGGAGACACCAGCACTTCCCCTTCACCACATGAGGACACGGTGAGAAGGCAGCCATGTTCAAGCCAAGAGGAGGGCCCTCACCAAGAACTGAATCTACTGGTACCTTGATCTTGTACTTCCCAGCCTCTAGAACTGTGGAAAAATAAATGTCTGTTGTTTAAACTGCCCTGTCTATGATATTCTGTTATAGCAGCCTGAGCCGACTATGACAATAAGTGAGTAAGTAAATGAATAAGTAAATGAATGAAATGAAACAAAGACTCAGAATAGGAAAACATACAAAATGAATGAGAAACAAAGGGTAATCTTTGAAAATATGGAGTGTAGCTGGGTGTTAGGAGTATAACCCACGGCTGGCTGGTTGGCTGGCTGGCTGGCTGGATGCAATGTTCTCAGAGTGTGGTGTGTGGCCCAGCAGCATTGGTATCATCTGGGAACTAACTAGAAATGCAAGTTCCTGGCCCCCGCAGCCAGGCCTACTGAGTCTGAAAGTCAGGGGTAGGGCCAGCATGCTGTTTCAGCAATCCCTGTAGATCATTCTGGTGCAAAGTAAAGTTTTGAGAGCCATTACTTTGTACTAACATGGGGACTTTGGAAATTATTCTGCTGTAAATTCAGTGTTAATGAAGGGTTTTAGCTGTGGATGGATATAATCAGACCTGTATTTCCAGGATGATGAGGCATGGAGCTTCACCTGAAAGAATTACGGCTTCAGTATAAGAAGGACTATTGGAGATACTGGAAGACACATTGTATTTGCCAAGCCCCAGAGTAACAGATTTTGATTTTTTCCTACTTCCTGATAATATCCGCATCAACAGCTAAGAGGCGGAGTAGAGCAGGCATTGCTCCCAGGCACTGGAGAAACCGGCTTGGTCCGCAGACACCAGGTGGGATGAGAATGTTGAGCTAACCATCAAATATAGTCCTAACTGATCTTGGAGAGGCTTCTTAGTCCTGACCAGCTGTGGGGAAACATCAAATGGAAGCTTCCAGACCAAGATAAATGGGCAGCTGTTCCTAAGACTGGCCAAAGTACCTGCACTGGCTGGAAATGCAGCTCTGTATTTAGGGCTGGTGGAGACAGGTCTGCCAAGGCTGAGGGCATTGTGTGGAGGAGAAATCCAAGAGCCTCAGGGGGTAACAGTTACCTTAAGAAAGTCTGGAAGCCCAAGATACAAGCATTGGGTGGGGAGGCAGTGAGGAGAAGAAGGAGGAGGGCTTCTCAGAGTAGGACTGCTCAGATGACCAGTCATCTGGGTTTGCCCAAGACACAGGATGTCCAGGACAATCCCTGACAAACCGGGGCAGTTGGTCACCCTACAAGGGTGCTCCGTCACCTGTGTTGAAGACCATGTGAAAGCAGAAAAGTCACTACTCTACACCTTGTTTCTCGAAATATTGTCCACAGACCAGCAACATCAGTATCACCCGGGAGCTTGTTAGAAATGCAGCTTCTCAGGCCCACACTAAGCCTGCAGGATCATGCCTGCAGGAGAGTAAGAGCCTCAGGTGATCTGCAGGCACCGGAGTTGAGAAAGAGCATGTTAGAAGATCCCGTGAGCCCTGGGTAAGAAAAAGTAGCACTGGTAGGGAGCAGAGAGAATTTCTTGGCTTTGATCTGGCAAATGTCCGGTCCGGCCAGATTCTATACTGAAACTGTATCAACTGGACCTGGGAAGGAGCAGCAGCACTGAGAAAGTTACATACTAAGGGGTACCAGGAATTGAAAGCAGAGAGGTAAAAGGACAGATGATGCAAAATAGCCAAGAGGGGCCTCCTGAACTGAACTATTAATAGTAGCAGTTGTAGGAATGTAGGAAAGCCAGAAAGCCAGCTATTATGCGGCGAGAGTAAAGCTGGAGAAATACTCTTCTGTGCCTGTTACTGTGACCCTCTTTTGGTAAAAAAAAAAAAAAAAAAAAAAAAGCTGACGTGGGCTGGGAAATGAATTCTGCTTGAAAATGTGGAGCCACAGCACTGTGGGTAGGCTTGCAGAGAAAGAAAAAAGGATCACCCACTGAAAGTACCAGCGTTAGCATCTTGGCCTCACTCACTTGTGTATCACTCAGATATGCAAAGCAAGTTCAGTTTTCTTCCTTTTCCTCTACCAGGTCTGATCTTCCTGGGCTCCAGCTCCGCATTCTAGCAGGAATAATTTGCACTTAATTAATAGCGTTTCATTTTCTTCCCGCTTGAACATAATTCTTTGACTTTAAACATTCTAACCAGTGGTTCTTAAACTCAAACACGCTACAGAATCACCTAGAGGGCATGTTAAAACACAGATTGCTGGGCCCACCCCCAGGGTTTCTGATTCAGTACATCTGGTAGAAAGTTAGAATTTGCATTTCTAAGGAGTTCCCAGTTGATGCTGTTACTACTGGTCCAAGGAACACACTTTACAACCTCTGATTCAAACTGTTCAGCATTTTATTCTCATCCAAAGGTGGTTTCAAAAGTCTTAGATCAATTCTTCTCAGATTGGTTGATCCCTCTGTTCTATCTTGGATCAAATACATGGTCTTCCTGTGGATGAGTAGTATGCATCTGTGATAGAAGCAAACTTGCATTGCTGGTTCAACACATCTTAAGTGTCTCTATCTTGGTCAACAAAACAAGATGATCACATGCTAGCATGTCCTGGCAATGTCAATCAGTGATAAAAATTTCTAAATACCAACTCTCACTTGTATTTATCTCACTTCAGACCAGTAATAGACTGGCACTGGCCCGTGGACCGCATTGTGAGTAAAGCTGTTTAGATGACTCAATCTTTCTCAGATTCTTTACCTTCTTCCTTCTCTTTCCCAAGCCAACATTTGGGTATGCAAGAGGAAGGGGTCTTATTTTACCCTGTGACAGCCTCGTATCATGCACCATCCTGTAGATACTCAGTGATCCTCCTTATGGAGGGGCTGGATTCATTTTTTCTCTGGAATGGGGACCACTGACATGCAACGAGGTCCCATCTGATCTTTTGGAATGATGTGTGCCGGTCCTCACCACTGCTGCCATAGCCCTGAACACATCCTTTAGTATCCAAGGTCCATCTTCATGGCCTCTTTCCCTGTTCCTAGATCACTGCCAGTCTACCAGTGGCCTCAGTGGGGAAGTAAGAAGCTCCAGAGACTCCTGTGTCCCACATAAAGGCCATCCGGAGGCAGCAATGCCTTCTAAGTCCTATGTATTCACCCACCTGCTGCAGCCTCCGTACCATTGCTTTGGAGCCCGTTGGGATGTGGTGTTGAGCCAAGTAGTCAGAGTTCCCTAGAAGCATTGTAGTGCTGGAAGGAGCTTGTAACCTAACCAGTTGTTAATTTTTCAGGAATTTGGCATTACAGATGTTCATGGTGGCCCTTATTAAAAGTTAAATGATAAGAAAATACATTTAAGCAAGTTATATTAAAAGCAAAGGTAATCAGTACCCCAAACCATCACCTCCTATTCATTTTACTACATTGGACTATTAACCTATGTTTGGCATATGTATGTGATAGAAATACTGTATAATCGTGTACCACCACACAGCTCTTCTAAGCTCTGTTCAATGATACCGTGTTGATAGCTTCTAATCAGCCAAGGTAGGAGTATTTACACTGTGGAAATGAGCAAACATTATAAATCAGAGTTCCACTCTCTCTCATCTCCACCTCCCCAAGGCCAGTTGTTAAACATTTACCAACGCACCATTGCTTAGAGCCTAAATCTGGGAGTGGCCACTAACGCACTGGGCTCCAGTCACCCTTTACTCACCTAGATGTTACAAAGCTGTCCTTCCCCTAAAGATTAGCCCCTAAAAGGTGTATGTGGAAGAGATATTGAATACTAGAACCATGATATCATCTTGTTTACTTACCCAACTTTTATCTCCCCTTTCTCTCTACCATCTTTTAGGACCAGAAGAATTGATCTTCTGGCTTTTTATATCCTCCACAGCTTATCTTTGTACATTAAGGATGAATGTTCATGGCCTAACATTATTCTCTGACATTCTTTCCCAAAACGTGTAAATGTATTCTAATCATGAGAAAACATGAGATCAAATTGAGGGACATTCTACAAAACTCCTTCCTAATTCCCTTCAAAACTGGAAGATCCTGAAAGACAAAGAAAGACCAAGAAATAACCCTAGCTTGGAGAAGGAGACTTGCATCCAAGATTCACTGTGGTATCACAGATTGAACCTGGAAAAGAAAGAAAATTGGTAGAGAAACTGAGGAGATCCAAATAAGGTCCAAGTATTGTACCAATGTTAATTTCTTAATTTCAATCATTGTTTCATTGTTATGTAAAATGTTAACACTATATGAAGCTGGATGAAGGGTATATGAGAACTCTATACTGTATTTGCAGATCTTCTGTATACACTTATTTCTAAATAAAACTAGTGTTGGGAAAAATTCACGACCTAGGTAACAGGTGGAATAGATATCTTTTCTATTCTATGGAAAAAGCCTACTATGTGCATCCACCTGCTTTGTTATATGCAAAAGGAGGAAAGATGGGGATGGTATAAAATCTTTTTCTAGACAAAGATAAAAAGCTTTACTTTTGAGTGTTTTCTCTTTTGCAGAATAAAGAAATGATTTTGGATGTTGTAGGCTGAGTATTAACCCTTTCTTTCCCTTTCTTTATACTCTTGCTACAATAAAACTAAGTTTTAAACTGTAATAAAACTAGGGCACCTGGGTGGCTCAGTCGGTTAAGCATCCGACTTTGGCTCACAGCATGATCTCACAGTTCACGAGTTTGAGCCCCGTGTCAGGCTTTGTGCTGACAGCTTAGAGCCCGGAGTCTGCTTTGAATTTAGTGTCTCCCTCTCTCTCTCTGGCCCTCCCCCACTTGTGCATTTTCTCTCTCTCTCTCTCACTCAAAAATAAATAAAAATGTTAAAAATTTTTTTTAAATAAACTATAATAAAACTAAGTTTATAAGTGATATCATCAGACAATGGAGAAGGCCAAATACATAGAAAATTGATTAATATAAGTTAAAATGTTCACCTTTATTTTGTGTTGATCTGAAAATGGACCACTGTTCATATGGCTACAATTCTTTCTAAGTGGAAGGAGAGCCAGGAAGAAAAATCCCTCATCACAGAAGAGTAAATGGGCTCTAAGGCTATGCTTCTCCAACTTTAATTTGCATTTGCTTCATCTGGAGACCTTGTTAAAATGCAGATTCTTTTTCAATACGTTTTGGGGGGGGGGATCCCAAATTAGTCTGATTTTCTAGTAAATTCCCAGAAAACGCCATCCTGATGGTCTCTGAGTAGCAAGAGTCAAGGGTCCTTTCTGAGGAATTTCCTCTTTCTTTGGGACAGTAGGCATAAGGCAGGTGCTTACCAGCTAGAGGCTTAAAGACACAGGAAGTGCACAGTAAGACCAGAAATAAAATAAACCAGTTAAAACAAAGAAGAAGCACATGAATCAAAGTATGACATTATTGCACATACTGAGATGGGGTTAAAGAAGGACTATTCGGGAGGTCGCTGGACTTGTAAAGCTATTTTTGAGGTTTAGTTTGAGGCCCCAACCAAGCGTCATTGTATGTCGTCATTCCCTTTCACTACACAGGAAAAATGCAACATTTTCTATTAAAGAGGAACTGCAGCTTTCAGAATTACTGAGGTGTACAGCGCCAATTTACATGAGTCTCTTCCCTCCTCCAAAGTTTCCAATGATGATAGTTCCTGGAAAATAGTATATCATTGTTTTCAACGCATATGCTAAGTTTACAAAAAAAGTTCTTCCAAAATATTAAGCTAGGAAAACAGGTAATTGGCCTGTATCCAAGGGCCAATTCGTGGCAGTCAAGAAGCCATCACAAGAGAATGAAGTGTGAGGCATGTGTGTTTGCATGTTTTTACGCCCACACCTCATGAGGAGCTTCCGAGGTGTAACATGCACTTGCACTGTCTTTCTCAGCATTTAAACCGAGATGTTTTTTTGGAAGACTTGCTCAGTGGACCTGTAGGCCCTCTGGTATTGTACGTGATTTGTAAATGTTGTGATGAACTTGACCAAAGTAGATCTGGCTTTGCAATTCACTTGTTAGTTCTTTTACACACTATTTCTTTGTTTAAGAAGCGAGGTTGCTTGTCTTACAGATGCATATTATCCAATTTGCAGAAAGAATAAATAATATTGCAAAGAGCAAAATGAGATCCAGTGTGCAGATTCCTGCACCCTGGTGGGCACAGCCCTATTTAGTAATAGCTTTCCCTTGCACTGCTACCACTGCCAAGCAGACTGCTTATGCGATCTTTGGCTTTCTTAATGTCTCTTCAGGGATCAATAGAGTGTTTCTTTTTTCCTAGATGCCAACTTCATCTTCTTTATACTTTAAGAATACAGTATTAGTTCAAGAATACTTCAGGAATACAGTATTAGTCTAAAGGACTGTTCCATTTAAAGCAACCTTGCAGGGATTCATGATTGATATTAGGCGAGTAAAAGAAAAACATAGATTGGTTTTATGCTCTGCCTTTCAGATCTTTGAAAGAGAAAGGGGACTGATGTTTTAAAACTGTTCAGTTGTTGGAAAATAATCATAGCCTACCTTGTTCTATCTGATTTGACTGTAGATACTGGAATGTGGATGTCTCGCGTACTTCTTTCAGAACTTCTGTTCATTTTCCCCTTGAAGTAAATATTAATAATTGGAGGTTAGAGAATTGCTACTTTAATGTTTCAAGTCAAATCAATCCGATACGTGAATTAGCAACAAAGACTTACCTCTCAAACAGGAAAGAACAGTTCACGAAACCGTATTTAAAGTTCAAGCAGAGGGGCGCCTGGGTGGCTTAGTCTGTTTTGCGTCCGACTTTTGCTTAGGTCATGATCTCGTGGTTTTTGGGTTCGAGCCCCGCGTCGGGCTCTGTGCTGACTGCCAGCTCGGAGCCTGGAGCCTGTTTCAGTCTGTGACTCCCTCTCTCTCTGACCCTCCCCTGCTCACACTCTCTCTCTCTCCTAGAAATAAATTAAAAAAAAAAAAATTAAAGTTCAAGCAGAGCTTTCATGTTGATGGATTTGTATTTTCCTTTTTCTTGGCCCTATGGGTCTGTTTTTAATTTTAATTTTATTTGTTATTTTTATCATTTTGAAACATATCCTTGTCTCAAATTCTTTGTGCAGTGGTGAGTGTATAAATAAGTACAAATAAATTACTGCTGATCCCATTTCTACTGTGATTTTTTAAATTTTAAATGTGACAACTATCCCTCAGTTATCTGTGCACACCAAGTATTGGCTGAGCCAGATTCTTATGTATAAGAAAAATTAGTGAATCTGAAATAAACGTGCAAAATACTATCTTTCACATAAATAATGCTAATAATGCCCAAGAAAGCAAAAGAGCTTACTTAAAAAATAATTGTTCTTGACAGGAGATTTTAATGAATAAATTTCATTATTGTTCTCCTTAGCTGCAGCCATGACCCCTTGAACTTCGTTATTTCAGATGAACCTGTACTCTCTTTGCAACTCACACTAAATAATGTGTGTTGTTTTGCATTTTTTATATCAGAAAGCAAAATATTAAAAATTTAATCAAAGTTGCAAATAAAGGGCACTCCCATGATAGAAAAAAGAAATATAGCCTTATTTCAACATCTTCTTAAAGATTCTTTAAAGGTGAGCATAGTTCCTTTAAAAATATGACATGATATATTGTTTGAAAGTTGCTTTAACTATCCATCACTGATTTAAATGGTCATTTGACACAACTTTGGGCCATAGCCATCTAAAAAACAAAAACAAAAACCTTAAACTGTGTATAGTCATTCATACAGAGAGACTCACTCACTTTTAAAAATGTATGCTAACCAGGACACCTGGGTAGCTTAGTCTCTGTTAAGCCTTTGACTTTGGATCTCAGGGTCATGAGTTCAAGCCCTATGTTGGGCTCCACACTGGGCCTGAAGCTAACTTAAGAAAAAAAAGAAATTTATGCTAAGGAAATATGGGTATGTTCACAGGTATTATGAACATAATAGTGTTCATCATGGCATGGCATATATTGGGGGCCAATTGGAAACCGTCTGGTGTCCAAACATAGACACTAGTTTCATAAATTATAATACATCCAACTATGAAATTCCACTCGCCATCACAAAGAAATCATGTAGAACATATTTAATGATGAGAGAAACATGAAATATTAGGTGAAAAAATAAGACAATTTGTATAAAATGATCATATACCCACAACCCCCATATATATATATACAGATGGTGTGTTATACAGTAGAATGTTAACAGGTCAGTTGTCTCTCAATAAAGCTGGGAAAAAATGTTAACGATATCTTTCTGGGTGTTGGGATTATGGGAATTGTTCTTGTATGTTTATATTTTCTGTTTTTTAACATGTATGTACGGTTTTTAATAAGGAAAACAATGATATTTAACCTTTAAAAAATCAGTGAATTCCATTAATACTCTCCCACTTGCCCTTTGAAAATCTGGTAGCTTTATATGTTAATAGTTCTGTAACAGATCATTGATTTTTAAAACGGAAACACATTTGTTTAGTTGTTTTAAAACGAATCAAGAAAGGGTCCTGTAAAATTTTGTAGTGACTTACTTTATTAATAGATAAATATCCCGATGACCTATTTCCTGGTGAGAAATAGGAATTACTCTGGCTCTGGGTTACATTTTCCTGGAATATCATCAAAGCCGCAAGCAATTTGCATAGCTATTCTAACTTTGTATCTTAAGGAGTAGTTTTTAACGTTCCTGCATAGATAAGAGAGCTCCTGGAATCTTCCCAGTGCCCAACTATTTCTTTGAAGACTCGGTATAGTAGTTGATTTGTTGATATGAATGTTAAACTGACATATATTTATTAAATGTCTATTAAGTATTTAAGTGTTACTAACTACTGAGCATACCAGAGAGTATGAGGGGTAGCCTCTGACCTAAATGAGCTACAGTATTGTTGGGAAATAAATAATATGAAACAAATAAAAACGTTAAAAAAAAAAACCCACTAAGTTAACAGCAGAGGTAAGAACCAGAGTATTTATAAAAAGCAAATGATAAATGTAGGAGGAAAGTTTGGGAAAAGGTTCCAGGAAAAGATGTGATTTGCCCTGACTTTGGAAAGATGAGTGGGATTTGGGCCTGAGAAAGAAGGGAGAGAACATTTTAGTTAGAGTGATGAGGGTCTAAAGGCCACAGGGCTGAATCGGTTCCTCGTGAGATGCTTACTACCGTCTGGCCGGCGTTGGGAGTTTGGTGAGCACCGGACAACAGAAGCAACAAGGCTCTCTGGCTGGAAGAGGCGAGGTGGCGGAGAACAGGTTAAAGCTGAGAGGTCTGACTCCGTGCTCTGAGTTCCTCTGGCTTCTCTGACTGTCCCTGGTGGGACCCCAGCCCTCTCTCTACTCGGTCTTTGAATCTCGGGCTTCTCCGTGGTCCTTCCAGCTTTTTTTTCTGATCCTGTGCTTTTCCTGGATGAGGTTAGAGGCTTTGAAACTATCCACTCCTGTGGTTTCAAATATCCACATAGGTCCTTGGAGGAATGATTGATTCTAGAGCTAGGGCAGGGCTAATACAAGATGAGCCTGAAGGATCTTACTGTCCCAGAAAG